CTTTCTTTCCAATAATTCCTATATGTACATTAAATTTTTCGATATATGAAAACAATGTACTTAAAATTTCGTACCCTTTAGGTATCTCGATCTGAGATCGGTGTACAATTTAACTGTCTCTTGTGGACTAATTTATTAATTTCTTTAAGAAAAATTAAAAATTTAGCACTAACATCCTGCGACGGCTCTTAATGCTCTTCTATTATATTTCTTGATTGTTATCATATGGAGCTTTACTATTATATGTGTTTTTCATTTATTATTTTGTCATATTTAGTTCATATTTATTTGACACCTTGTATACGCCTATGTCTTCTCGGATATTATATTGCAGCCTTGCGACGAAATTTCAGTCGAGGAAACAAGCGCAAGCATGGTTTGTTTACAAACTATCCGATAACACGTACACAGACCACACGTCAGTGTAGTGAGTTACCACTACAAACAAATGCGTACACACGGACCTACGCGGCATAGGTCCGTAGGCTAATGTCATTTTCATTTTTAGTACCATCGAAATGATGTCGCTTTCGCGTCGAAGTTCGGCTTGCACTCCAGCATCCCCTTAAAATATACAATATTATGACAATGAAATAATAAAGCATATGATACGCTAGAAATTATCGCAATCCAAAGACTTGTGTTAACAGCACGCAATCGATTATATCGTTCTTATCAAACAATTTGCTGTCACGTATCGCCGCGATGGGGTCTTTCACACCGCTCGCGATTTCTCGAAAGCGTATGAACTTGGCGTCAACCATACTGATGACGTTGTTCAACGAATGAGTGATATGATCTACGCCATACTCGAGAGCAATATTACATACGGTGTTGCTCGACATGGCTAAACACACCGTTGATGTTTCCAGGCGCAGTACTTTTAGATTGTTTATCTTTCCAAACCGTAGTGTGATATGTCCGATGGTTTGAGACGATGCGTGTGCTTTGTCTTCACCATTGTTAATGAAATGGTGGATGATGTCTCGTTGATTCAGGAGGACCTTCCACATATTGTGTGTAAAATGTATTTCGTTGCTATGGTTGTCACCGAGAGCGATTACCACGTGGCTCGGCGTTGAAACGTTGATTCCAATAATAAGATATTTGTAGCCGGTTTTTGTCAACGGGTATCTTCTAGACAAAATTCTGGGAGGCGTGATCATGCTTCTATCGATGCTTGGCAAATTACTTCTATTTCTGTGGAAAAAAGCTTGTTTGAGTTCAAAGTGTAACAATAGCGGTGAGTTTAAAAGTGTAAATAGTAAGAGAACCAACTTACTCGTTGGGCGAGTATTTCCGCTTTTTCGTCTCCACACGTTGCTGTTTGTTGGTCAGATTACTCACGGTTGTCTGCTGTACGATAGAAAACATCGTTGCTATAATTCAGGCGTGGCTGCCTGTTGCTATGGGCTTTTGCACACGGCACTATTAAAAGTGCTGATTAAATATATAGAAATCTGGCAACAATGGCGCCCAAACTGCTGACGCGGCCGTTGCTAAAAAATAGTGATGATATCATTCTTGTAACAACGCAAAATGGCGCTCAAAATGCTGACGGCGCAAAATGGTGCTTGCAGATTCTAAGAAAAGCGATGACGTTATCCGTAAAATGTGGTCCTCTTCAATCTCTTGTAATCTGATATCCCTCCCAATGACTTTATGTAACTTGATACTCACATCGCAAAAAAGTGCTAATGCTACGCTTTTACAACTGTAAACGTGTGTAACCTGATACCCCTCCCCTTCAGAAGTGCTGTAATCTGATACCCCCACTTCTCAAAGTGCTAACGGAGCGTAATCTGATAACCCCCTCCCCTCCAAAAGTGCTGACGCAGCGTAATCCGATACTCCTCTTCCCCCGCACCCTTTTATTGCCCTATGGAGTAAGAACCGGTCTAGCTATACTACTAGAATATATATGTGTATGTATATATATATGTATGTATATAAACTGTTGATAAATATTACATACGCATTAAAATAATATATAGTTTAATAATAATTGTAAAATATACAGAAGAATATAATTTATTATCAAGATGATACAGGTGCTTGATAGATTTGTATTTTTACTTATTCTTTAGCTATTGCTTCAAAAAAAAAGGAACTTTTGGAAGAAGTAGATAACAAAAAAATTAAAAAGTTATTTATTAAGAAAGAATCCGTAAAATAAAACACAATTTGACTTTATTTTTAAGAAAACAGCAATAAAACTTTTTATAGAGTGTACTTTTTATAATAATTACAATCACATAAATGCTTCGTAAACGTGAAGAGCTTGACAATAAAATTTAATATAGATATAAATTTCTTTTTTAACAATTATAATTACCTTTTTTAGTTAATATATAATGCATTTATGTAACTACAAATAAAAAGTACTTTTTCTCAGAAAAGTTTAATACTTATTTTCTCAAAAATAAAGTTGCATTTTAATCCGCGTATGTTCTTTTATATAGATATATATAGAAAATAAATAAGGTATAACATAAATTAAAAAGATTTCTTGATAAATTTTAAAGAAATAATTAAAAAATGGTATATATACAGGGTGGACCAAAAATCTGGATACAGTCAAATATCTCATAAACAGTACAATTTTGAAAAGAAAGTTTGAGACAAAAGTTGTAAGATTTAAAAAGACGCATTGACCAATAATATCCATTTGACCTTTGATGGCGTTATTAAGGTCAGGTCAAGGTCAACTCGTTTTTTTTAAATAAAATATCTTACTTTTTATTGCACATTATTGTATCTAACGTCGAAATGGTTTTATTATGGTATAATAAGTCCCAATTTCGTTAAGTATTTTTCGAGTCATTAGTTGACAAATTTCAAATACCACCGGCATTAGTGTTACTCAAGGTGTACTTCGTGGAGGTTCTATCTCTCTCTCTCTCCCTCT